CCCCAAAACCCCAAAACCCCAAAACCCCAAAACCCCTTCCATTTATGTCAGTATTGAAACCTACTTTAGTATTTTCTTAAATTTGATCAGCACTTCATTATTGTGTACCAGGAAGTGTTGGTTATGGTACATAGTCCCCATCTTCAGTTTTACTGTATCATCCTCTGTATTAAATTCATCAGTGAGAGAATTAAAGAAATTTAGATAGTAGATTTTCAACTCGAGGCTGATGTCGTTCATGATCTCATCAACTTGTTTGGCAAGCTTTAACAGAACTGCTTTTAGCATAAAAAGTTTGATCATACCAAGTTCAAGCACGGCGTTCATCTCCTGGACATACCTCAGAGTAAGAGGTCTGGAAGACCTCTTACTGCCAGGCTTGGCAGCAGAGGATTTCTGAGGACTTGCACGAGGAATTTTAGGAGATGATGACCTAACAGGCGAGAACTTAGGATTCTTTTTTGAACGAGGAGGAGCCTTGAATGAGGTAAGGGAGGAGGGCTTTGGAGTAGCATCAGGAGGAGGATTATTTGGGATTTTAGCCTCTTCTTCATCTGAGCTTCCTCCTTCAAGATCGAGGCTTATGCTATTGGTGATGTTGGAGATAGCCTGGCTCATGTCGAAGAGGAAGGCTTTGTCTAGAGTTTGACAGTTAGTTAGCTCTTCTAGACTGAGGAGGAATAAGCCTTGTGTTGGAATATAATGGATATTTCAGTTTGTTGTTCCTTTGAATAGGCTTTCTTTCATTTTTAACTTCCATTTATCATCAAAATGATTTGCTATTTTATCAAAGTATATTTCATAATGTTTCTCTGAGAAGGTTTCTTCTAATTTTGACAAAGCATCTGAGAATAAATCCTCAAATATTTGTTGCTTCTGAGAATATGTAAGAATCGATGAGGTTGTTGAAAAGAGTTCGCCAATTGTATGTTCTAAGTCATGCTCTATTGTATTTAATCTACAAACTTACCTTCGATATTTAATAACTCTAGTACTTCTCCTTTGAGGGTTTTCTTTAGGTAGTCTCACATATCTTTGAAATTATTAGAGGATGCTTTGGGTTCTGGCTCCTTTACTTCTTCAAGAATTACATTGCTTTCAATGTTTATAGTATCACTCACATACTGTTTAAATTTCTCACGGTTAACTTTCTGACCTCTTTCCTAAAATATTAGCTCATAATACCTTGATTTCCTTGAATTTCTCAACACTGAGGCTGAAGAAGTTGATTATTTCTTGAGTGTTCTCTTCAACAACTTGTTTGACTAGAATTTTAATCTAGAAATTACCCTTAAATTCCTCAGATTTGTTATGAGAGAAAGTTTCTACAGATGAGGCACACAATTACTATTTTTAGAGCTCATTTTATTTCAATTTTTATTAAGTCAGTTGGGGTTTTGGGGTTTTGGGGTTTTGGGGTTTTGGGGTTTTGGGG